CAACAGGGGCCCCACACCAAATGTGTAGGGGCCCCCACTTCCTTCATTACGCCACTGAATCTCACATTTATGCAGGGTTCCCAATAAACATCCGCATCTGGCAATATTCGCAGCTGTAGCAATATTAAATAATTGCCAGCTATTTCTCCAGATTTATTAAAACAAAATATTTCCTCCTTACGAAAGAAATGTCAAGATAAAGACCCTTTATAACATAAATTATTTGGATGACAAAATTACTACTCTCCAAAAATGCCATTTCAGATGGTCCAAATTTCAAAATCTTCATGGAGAGACGCCTTCAGACCTCTCTTGGTGAGGTATCTTCAACAGGACATAGTCGCCTACTTCTTTCAAAAAGCCATGCACCCACTGCAAATTCTGTTGGGGACCCTGTCATGATGTCTAATTTACCCTGATAGTGAGTGGAGAGGTTAGCACCATTTCGTTTTTGATATCCATTCGATCAATAGTTGTTTTATTGTTTACTTTTTAGTCAATTCCATTGAAACTTGCTTTGTGTGTACCATCTGTGTGTGGACCTGTTGATCTTGGTGAATGGCGTGCAAGTAATTCCACTAAATGTGAGTTGTCATTTCTACAGTAATCTTGTTAAGGCCTATTTCCACAGTTAATGTCCATTTGTAAAATATGATTGGCCGATCGACACAAATTTTTCCGTCAGAAAAAAATTTGAAGTTGAAAATTTTCAACTCTTAACAATGATATTTTCAAGAAATTGAATTCAGCTTGGGGTCTGTGGAGCTTTCTCCCCCCCCCCCTCCCCTGATGGAAAGGGCAGGGTGGAACATGTGGGTCCATGGGCTAGTAAGGTCCTGGATGTTTCAATTCACAATTCAGGATTTACATGGCATTATATAAGTACAGCTCGCAATCAAAGTTGCTTTGAATATGTGTCATGAAACAAATTGCAGGTGGTATATTCGCCTTTCTTATTTTGTTATTTTGAAATCTTTCCAATTTTGCCAGTTTTATGGCATTTCACGTTTGGTTTAGTTTTTTGTCAGCCGGAAAAGACGGTCAATGGCTGCAAGCAACCTAATTTAACATACTAAATGTTTTGAACAAACGTTTTATACATGTACTCAGCGATTTGGAACAAGAGCGCGCTGCCGTATCATATAATAAATAGCGTTATGTTTACCCGAGCAGTCCCCGAGCTGTCTCGGGCAGTAATTAGTAGGACCGGTCATTGTCTGCAGTGATCCACGGCAGAGTCCTGTTCAGGCCTCGAATTTCCCTGAAATCAGTCGACGGCAATGGCGTTAAAAATTGCCGTAGAACGTAACAGCTGTCTACAGCAATTTTGACAGTTTCCACAGCATTCAGTTCAAATTACTGTAATAATTATAAAACTTTAATTTTATTGTTACTTTGGATTTTTGACAAGCTAGAATAGACTAAAATAGTGATTTACGCATGATTTGATCAACATCTGAATTCAAGTATGAAAATTGAGTAATGCACAGTGAATAGTATAAAAATTGCACTATACGGCAAAAAATTGCCGTCGTTGCCGCAATGATCCACGGCATTTTGTTCTCCCTCTACGGAAATTGCCGTGATTGCCGCGATAAAATTCGAGCCCTGGTCCTGTTGATCAGCATTAACTACAAGTTCTTGTGTACATGCATGATAGGGTGGATTCTTGCATGCCAGAGGGTGTATGTGTATTGCGTTTTGCGCGACTGCTCCTGGTTAAAGTCTGAAAATTGTATAGCAAATCTTTTGCTCGAAATTCCATCTACTAGAGAGCCATTACCGGCACCAAAACTCACACAAAAAAAACATGTACAACGTTATCATAAATTATATTATAACATGTACAACCATAAATTTTATACTTTGCATACTTGCCATATTTCAGTTTTTACTCAGAATAGTGTCACAGAGGAAGGACGTACAGAGGTCACACTTAATTTAGCGTAAGGGATTTTTGTTCAGTCGGCCATGTTTATTAGCAGGTGCCCTAAAGAGAGGCCGTCACCCCCCTGAAAACATATTGACATTTAATGTTCCAGGGGGACTCTCTTTAGGCACAGAATACTATCACAGAATAAGGTACGCAGAAGGCTGACTTCTTGGTTTTTCCTATGATTTTGGCGTAACCCGTAATTCGTCATCAAATGCTGACGCCATGGTCCTAGCCAGTGCGCGTTTGAGAGGCATTCACCCCCCTAATAATATTCAAAATGGCGGACATCCAGGGGGGTAATGCCTCTCATAAGCGCACTGGCTAGGCCCATGGCGTCAGCATTTTGATGATGAATCATGGCGTGGCAGCGGTTACTCGAGTCGACCTTCTATGTGCCTTATTCTGTGACTATACAGAATCCATCTCCATTGTTTTTTGCGTAAGCGCTATTCAGCATGACTCGTCACTCAGCAAGTACCGTAAACAGAAGCAGTCACCCTCCTGGATGTGTGCCATTTTGAGTATTTCCAGGGGGGTGACTGCTTCTGTTTACGGTACTTGCTGAGTGACGAATCATGACGAATAGCGCTTACGCAAAAAAAAAACCAATGGAGATGGACTTCTGGGGCCGGTTGTATAAAACTCTTAATACTTTTTTAGTCACTATTTTGTAGTTAAATAGTGATTAACTCTTAAATAGGCGCTTCTTATTGGATGACGTTTCCATTAAATATAGTTAACTTTAATCACTTTTTTATACAACAGGCCTCCGTATAGTATTCTGTGCTTTAGGGCACTGGCTAAGAACATGGCCGGCAGCAATTTTGGTAAAAACTACCTTACGGTTTTTCCGCAGAAGTGAGACCTCTGCATGTACCTACTGTGTTTCTGTGCCTGTGGTAGTGCCTTGAATTGGACTCGAAAGTGTTTCCTCTGTTGCTTGCTGCAACGGCTTTTTCACCTCCGTGTTTTCGGCGGGAACATCGTACGTGCCAGCAAACGTCATAATACCATCGCTTCCATAGGCATTTCCTACTTTTAACCAACTTTCCGTATTCTGGACGTTGTGAACGTACACCATCCATATCGTTAAAGGGCAACCCCACTCTTCAGCGTATGTTTTCTTTGCATTGAGGAAACTGTTTGCACATTCTCCGGAACCTGTTGTAAAAGAAAAATGGCTACACAAATTACAGTATGTCTTCCTAAGTAGGGTTGGGCGATATTTCGATATTTTGATTTATCGCGATATTTTCAATCGCAGTTATCGTATCGAAGGTAGAAACTTGAGCGACGATATATCGAAATTATCGTCATGCTCGATGACTATCGTGATATTGCTTCGCATGTGTATATAGCTTTTATAAAAATCCTAAAAAATACCTTCACTTTCTAGCAAAAAAAGTGTTTAAAAGAATTAAAACTATCTCCTGAATTAAATACGATATATTGTTAGTCCCGAGTGGTGTTACGGTCACCAATATACTATTCTAACTTTTATACTTAACAATTATTCGCCGAAGGCGAGGTGATTATCGGTGAATAAAAACCGAGACAAAGTCGAGGTTTTTATTCACGATAATTACCGAGCCTGAGGTGAATAATTGTTTTAGTATAATTGCATAGGTGATTATTTGGAAAAAAATAAGAAAATACACATTTCTTCGTCATTTAATTGACAAAAAGGCTTTGGCCGCCATTTTGAAATCGCTTAGGTGATTATCGCGTAATAATCACCTCAACGGCAACCAATCAGCGTGGAGAATTTTCAATAATCACCTATGTAATTATACTAAATCCTAATAATACCTGCTTATCACTGGTAATCTATCTAGTAATCATTGGTAAGTTAGTATAAGCCTTGGTAAGTTAGTAAGCTGCTGAACAATGAAATTGCAGGCTTTGCATGCGCTGTGTGCCCACGGCATTTGTGCCTGCGGAAACGCAGTAGACACTGCATAGACAGTTCAGGTTTATGACCAGTAAATATTAGACTAGAAAAAGTCTTCAAATCACTTTAATTTGTTGTTTTACTTGTTTTTAATAAGATTATATATAGCTTACTGGTCATTGTTTTTATTGCATTTATCGCGATATTATCGAATATCGTGATAATTTTCTCAACAATAATCGTGAGATGATTTTTTTAATATCGCCCAACCCTATTCCTAAGTTGAAAGAGTGTTGCGATTATTTACAAATTCTTTTTACAAATATTTCCAGAATATATATCTTGATTTTTAAGATATTTGGAACTAAAGAGTCTTGCCAGTCCTAATGCATCAGTAAATTAAGTATAGTTTAATTTCTAATTGGTAATTCAATCTTATTAATAAAAATGTGTTAATAGTTTGTTTTTTTACTTTGGAGATATGACCAGCCTATATTGGTCGGTCATATGTCTGGTCAAAAAAGCTTTGATCGGACAAAAGATAATATTTGGCCGGACAATGTACCCGCACTAATTTGCAGGCCTGGGCATATCATTGTCCCCCTCTTTGACTTATTGTAATTAAAAAACTAAAGAAGCCACATCTTATTCAAATAAAGTCTATTGAACACAGCTATGTCTAACTTAAATTTTGATATACATGCCTTAATTAAACATTTCTATAGAATATTAGCCGAGATATAGACATAACGAATGCAGGCCATTTCATAACCATAAAGGTTGCAAATTAACCCATTGAGTCGCATTGCACCCTGATGCACCCTACTTTAGTATTTTACTCTGTCTAACGCCAGAGTATTTTACTCGTCAAGTGGAGAGCGCTGGCGTTTAATGGGTTAACTGGCCTATCTGCCCATGTGTCTAGTTAACCCATTGAGTCGCATTGCACCCTGATGCACCCTATACTTTAGTATTTTACTCTGTCTAACGCCAGAGTATTTTACTCGTCAAGTGGAGAGCGCTGGCGCTTAATGGGTTAACTGGCCTATCTGCCCATGTGTCTAGTTAACCCATTGAGTCGCATTGACCCATTCACAATGAGTCAAAGAAGGGAAACATATTTTTGCGCCACCCGAGAGAAAATATTGTTTTCCTTAATAAGTTCTTTGTATGTTTGCATGGCGATAAAACATATAATAGTTTTGTTTGTGGAAACACCACGTAAATTTATTACTGCAATAATAAATTTACGTGGTGTTTCCACAAACAAAACTATTATATGTTTTTCTTAAATTAAACCAAACTGGCTGCCTGAGGCTCGAGGACCATCGCCTATAGAACTTTGTTTATACTCTGTCTGCCCTTCGAAATATCAAGATCACTTAAAACCTTTAAAACATCTACCAATTTGCTTAGCAATTCGAATACTTTGATTTGGTTAATCCCTGTTGTGACGTCGCCAAAACTACCGTTAATGAGATCAAATTTTATCCAAGATGGCGGACATCTCGTTACTTCAAGTGGAAATATTTCAAGAACTAAGCAAGATATGAAAAATCGGCAAAAAAAAGTTAATATATAGTTTCAAACGTTCTTTCAAATTTTGACCGTTCGACTTTAGATATTAGAAGACTTTCCGGTATTTTAAGTTCTTACTTAGAATTGGCAAATGTAGTTCATTGTGTGGTGGTGAGCAAGTATGGCAGACATTGTTGAGACTGAAATCTTAACTGGAACTGTTACAGACGTAAAAACGCACAAGTTGTTACAAGTCTGCAAACAAGTTGTCACAAATCTGTTCACAAGCTGTCAACAAGTTGTCTTCGCACTGTTTGTTCCCAGTTGTTGTAACAAGTTTGGAACAAGCTGTTAACAACTTGTAACAAGCTTGATGGCATTATCAGACTTGTCACAAGGTTGTTCTAACAAGTCTGATACAGTCATGATAACAAGAATGTTACAAGGTTGACGACACAAGGTTGTAACAATACTGCTATATCATGACTGTATCGGACTTGTTGGAACAACCTTGTAACAAGCCTGATAATATCAACAAGCTTGTTACAAATTGTTAACAGCTTGTTCCAAACGTGTTGACAACTTGGGACAAGCAATGCGAAGACGGCTTGTTGACAAACTTGTTACAAGATGTGAGATTTTTGCGTGTGTACACGCGTAAAAACGTCTGGGAATTAGTTGTTACAAATCTGTTCACAAGCTGTCGACAAGTTGTGTTCGCACTGCTTGTTCCCAGTTGTTGTAACAAGTTTGGAACAAGCTGTTAACAAATTGTAACAAGCTTGATGGCATTATCAGACTTGCTACAAGGTTGTTCTAACAAGCCTGGTACACTTGTGATGTAGCAAGAATGTTACAAGGTTGACGACACAAGGTTGTAACAATATTGTTATATCATGATTGTATCGGACTTAAGTTCTTTGAAAGTTTTTTATGGCGATAAAATATAATTGTTTTTGTTTGTGGAAACACCACGTAAATTTATTACTGCATTTATTTATTCATTTATAAATTTACGTGGTGTTTCCACAAACAAAAACAATTGTATCGGACTTGTTGGAACAACCTTGCTACAAGTCTGTAATATCAGCAAGCTTACCGTTTCAAATTGTTAACAACTTGTAACAAGCTTGATGGCATTATCAGATTTGTTACAAGGTTGTCCTAACAAGTCTGATACAGTCATGATATAACACGAATGTTACAAGGTTGACGACACAAGGTTGTAACAATATTGTTATGTCATGTCTTTATCGGACTTGTTGGAACAACCTTGCTACAAACCTTATAATATCAACAAGGTTGTTACAAGTTGTTAACAGCTTGTTCCAAACTTGTTGACAACTTGGGACAAGCAGTGCGAACACAACTTGTTGACGGCTTGTTGGCAGACTTGCTACAAGATGTGAGATTTTTACGCGTGTAGAAATTGATAAAATAACAGCATTGTTACAACTTGTTGACAAGCTTGCTACAAGCCTGTTGCGAACACATCTTGTTGACAAGTTGTAAGAGTTTCACTTGTGTAACACTGCAATATTTCACCAGTTTTTTTCTGGTTTCTTTCTGTAGGAACGTACCGTGAACCGTTTCCACGAAGTAAGAATGGCTGAAACTCTATGGTGAGTAATTAGTAATTTTAAATTAGCATGGCCAGAAATCACAAGACATGATTATTCTGTTTCCTTACTGATTTGAATATCAGCGATGCTATGTGCATAACCCGTTGGAAGCCGGCCTTCAGTAAACAGTAAAGCCTGTTTTATACGTCGAATTTTGGCCGCGTCGAATGCAATTAAGACAACAGATAATGAGATGATAAACCTCATTAAGCTTCATTATCTATTGTTTGAATTGCATTCGACGCGACTGAAGTTCGACGTATAAAACAGGCCTAAATTATATTACGCGATGCTCTACGGTAGGTCGTTTGCAATTTACCTCAATTGCTGGTCGCAGAACAAAGTGTTTGCCTGGTGTAAGTTACTGCCTATTCTGCATTTTCGTTTGTTCCTAGTGGCAGTATTGTGGTATTCTTATATAGAGTTAAATATACAAATGTCGTGAAAACTAACCTCTGTACAAATATTGAAAATGCGGAATAGGCAGCAACTGAAATGAGGCCAACATTACGCTAAATACTTTGACAGACTTTTTTTGCAGCCAGCGATTTGGGGCAATGAACGAGGCTCAAGAAAGCTTTTCTCTACGAGGCTCAAGGAGGCCTTTCTCAGCTGTATATTTTATTGTCTTTCTTCTTCTTAAAAAGTTATAAACGACCTACTTTATTCTCAGATTTTGCGACTAACAACGTCGGGTTTACGCGTTATATAATTCACTGTTCACACAGGGGCGCCGGAGCCACGGGGGCAGCGGGGGCGACTGCCCCTGTTGCCCCCAAACAGTGCCGGGGCAGCACGGGGGCAACAGGTTGCCCTTTTTACCGGAACTACAGTTCGAAATTCGTGCCGTTATTCACAGGAATTGGAATTTTTAACTATTTTTAGGCAATGTTTAAGCAATCTTTGCTTAATTTTTAACCAGTTGTTGTAAGATTAATGCTAAATTATAAACTTCGAGATGTTGAAAGTACTCTTTGCTTACCACAGCCGCGTACAAATAGCTTGAAAAAAAGTTTCATGTTTGACGTGGCACACATTTGGAATTCTTTACCAACCGAAATTAGAGAGAGCAACTCCATCATGTCCTTTGAAACTAAAATTGCTACTCGCATTTTTGAATATATATTTCTTACTGTATATGTAATCTTACTATATACTATATCTTTGTAATTTTATTATCTATCTATCTATCTATCTATCTATCTATCTATCTATCTATCTATCTATCTATCTATCTATCTATCTATCTATCTATCTATCTATCTATCTATAAATCAGGCAATATACATCCGTTTACTGATTTTATTTTGCGCCCTTAGCATGGTGCAGCGAATAAAATTGTTCAAAATTAATGTCGAAGTTTGCCAACCCAAAATAGCCACAAGTAATCGAGTATCCGTACAGTAAATTTTTAACAAATACTGCTGCACAGAAACATGATGATTTGGAAGCAAGCGCCCTTTTGAAATGGCTGACCAGCCGCTTCACATTGCTTCCGGCGCCCTTGTGTTCACAGTTAAAGCCATACTGTTTCAATGTGATATGCAAATTACGAAAGAAATAGAATAAATCTTGTCCATGATTTCTGGCCACGAGACGTAAACTCTTGTCTAAAACGGAAAAATCGTCCAATATATGAATACGGCAATAGTCGAGTTTCCCCGTCTAGACGAGAAACCCCAGCCTTGTTCCTGTCTGTCGCTTCCGCGATGCTAGGCGCGCTGGGGAGAGACGGGAAGGCCAAGCCCCAATTTGCAAATCTGCCCTTCTTGGAGCCATTTCCGCCCTAAGTTCTACATATTTACATCGATGTTTTTGTATAGCTTTATGACTTTGGGATGAACAATGAAGATATTTCGTAATTCCGATATGGAAGGAAATACCTGACTGTAGTGCGGGCAGTTCGGGTAAGATTTCTTTATGAATTAAGTGGGCTTTCCGTACGCGATTCAAAACCGAGCCGTTCACGCGGGAATGCTTGCGACTACATGCGTAAATATCTCACATCTTGTAACAAGTCTGCCAACAAGCCGTCAACAAGTTGTGTTCGCACTGCTTGTCCCAACCGAAGTTTGGAACCAGCAGTTAACAACTTGTAACAATCTTGTTGATATTATCAGACTTGTTGCAAGGCAGTTGTTCCAACAAGCTCGATACAGTCATGATATAACAATATTGTTACAACTAGTTGTGTCGTCAACCTTGTAACATTCTTGTTATATCCGATGACTGTATCAGACTTGTCAGAACAACCTTGTAACAAGTCTGATAATGTCATCAAGCTTGTTACAAGTTGTTACTTGTTAACAGCCTGTTCCAAACTTGTTACAACAACTGGGAACAAGCAGTGCGAACACAACTTGTCGACAGCTTGTGAACAGATTTGTAACAACTTGTTTGCAGACCTGTAACAACTTGTGCGTTTTTGCAATTTTGTCGGCGATTTTGTATTTCGGACTGATGCTGAAATGCATGAGTGAACTCGCTTTATAAAAACAAAGAAGTACTATAGAATATAATATTGGCGTACCCCCGGTACCTTGAAACTAATGATTAATGAATATACTTTTCCACTTGGTATGACTATATTCAAGTTTTAAAATTTTTAACACGTCTCTTGAGCGGCAAACAAACTTTAAAAGTATGTTTAGTGCTTTATCTGTAAAATAATGCAAAATGAAGAGATTTTAGATGGTACGCCAAACGGGAAATTATGTCTGAAGTTCAGTAAGTTTTGCTTATGGTTGCTGTATAAACATATTTATACAGCAACCATAAGCAAAACTTACTGAACTTCAGACATAATTTTACCGCAGCATCAATATGATAATTGTATTTATTAAATTGACAATATTTGACTGCTTTATGTTTCTCAACCGGCAAGCATTTAAAAAGGTAGCTAACTGTATAAACTAGAGAATAATTAAAGCTCAAACAATGCAATTTTGAGAGGAACGGATTTTCGGTTTTTGACTAACAATACACGCGGCGTGGTCGAGTCATTGAAAAAAAATTGCCTCTCAATACTGAGTTAGTTCCATCAAAGGCTCAAACATTTAATTTCTAACAAATCCTTCAAAATTACCCATGCAAAATTCCTACTGTGTCACCACAACTCATTATCCCTGAACCTGTGCCTGAACGAAGGCCGAGCAATCGTCGAGCATTTCTTCGCCCTCGACACGCGCGAATCGGGTGAAATTAAAATGAAAGTTGAAAATACTCGACAACACTCATCACAACAAGGAACCATTACAAAGAGAACGGTTTTGTGATGCGTCAGATTCGAGATATTTCTCAAATCATGGAGCTATTGTATTTGGTTTCTCTATGCCTGCTTTGCTTTTGGACTTCAGAGACCGTCGCGAACGGATCAAACGGCCAAACAGCGAGCAAATGTATCACGTCGAAAGCGGTGTTTCACATATTCCCGACATCGCATTGCCTTATGTGTCCGCTTAATGCCATCATCGGACGTTGTCCTTTGGGAACTGTAAAAATTACTAGCGGCATGGGACTAAGACGATGCATTTTGGGTTCAAATATCTATGGTTGTGTGCATTTGTGTCGAAGGAAAGCTTATAAAAGCGTTTGTTGTGTAGACCATTGGGGGCCTGATTGTCAGTGTGAGTATAAATTCATATTTAAACACACATATACTTCAAATTGTAAATAGTTTTTGTGCAATTTGTTATGTAAATACGTCAATTCTTAAGTGTGTTTTTTATGTTTGGGTATAGTGTAGCAAGTGTTGTCTTTTCTGAGCGTGTGACTCGTATAATTGTATAACAAACAAGTTTGGTTTTATTATATGTTATCTATAATTGCTACGATTCTGCACATATTCTGAATTAATGCGTATTTTTTGAATAAATTGAGACAATTTGCTGCATAATGTTGCAATTAGAATACAGATTATGGATAAAGAACATTCCTTCGCGTTTCTTTTATTATTAGAGTCTTGGGATTTCATTTATATTGGATTGAATTAATCTGTAGGACCTGTATTGTTATTACCAGTATTGTGCCTAATTGGGCAGACTTCCCCTTAACAAGTGAAATTGTCTGACATTAGAATGAGTAAAATAATTGTGTGTTCAGCGAGAAATTAATATGAGATTACATAGTTTTATCCCATAAAAGCTTCAAATATATGTAAAACTGAACGTCTATAATTACCAAAGATTAGGCACAGATAAACCAGCTAAATTGTTAAAAGTTATACACATAAAAACGTCAAGTTATTGCAGGTCTGCAAGCAAGTTGTTACAAATCTGTTCTTGAGCTGTCGACATGTTGAGTTCGCACTGCTTGTCCCCAGTTGTTGTAACAAGTTTGGAACAAGCTGTTAACAACTTGCAACAAGCTTGATGGCATTATCAGACTTGTTACAAGGTTGTTCTGACAAGTCCAATACTGTCATGACACAACAACAATGTTACAAGGTTGTTGGCACAAGGTTGTAACAGTATTGTTATATCATGACTGTATTGGACTTGTTCGGACAACCTTATTACAATATGATAATATCAACAAGCTTGTTACAAGCTGTTAACAACTTGTAACAAGCTTGATGGCATTATCAGATGTGTTACAAGGTTGTTCTAACAAATCTGATACAGTCATGATATAACAAGAGTGTTACAAGGTTAACAACAAGGTTGTAACAATATTGTTATATCATGACTGTATTGGACTTGTTCGAACAACCTTGATAACATCAACAAGGTTGTTACAGCTTTTTCCGAACATGTTGACAACTTGGGACAAGCAGTGTGAACACAATTTGTTGACAGCTTGTTGGCAGACTTGCTACAAGATGTGAGATTTTTTGCATGTGTAACTTACTGTACATATTAACTAAACTGTCTCAAAGAAAAATCTTTTCTTCTTTAAAGCTGTTTGATATAAATCCTATATAGCATGTTTAAATTCAACCTATCGAGTGCCAGACTATTATTACAACCTTGTGTTGTCAATCTTGTAACATTCTCATTATGTCATGACTGTATCGGATTTGTCAGAACAACCTTGTAACAAGTCTGATAATGCCATCAAGCTTGTTACAAGTTGTTAACAGCTTGTTCCAAACTTGTTACAACAACTGGGAACAAGCAGTGCGAACACATAACTTGTTGACAGCTTGTGAACAGATTTGTAACAACTTGGTTGTAGACCTGTAGGAGCTTGTGCATTTTTATGTGTGTAAACGGCAGGGCCGTAGCTAGCATGTATAGTTGGGGGGGTGTAGGCCAAAAATTTCCGAATGACGAAAAAAATTTCCGAATATTTCGTGGCATACGAAGCCACGAAGGTGTTTGCTATCCGGAATGCTATATGCAATTTACAAACAAGAATACACATAGTTTACGCAAAGGCATATTACAGAAGCATGCAGTGCCATAAGAAGCCCTTTTTTGTTCGGGGCTGGGAACGAGAGCCGAAGGCCCGAGGAAATTTTTAAATTTGGATTCTCTGAAATGCTATTTTCTGGACTCTTTGGGGAAGTTTTGACAAAATTCTGATGGTCAGAAAACAGAGTTTTATATATGATATTTGTGAAGCTGAAAAGTTTGCTTGGCCACGGTGGGAGTCGAACCCGCGACCTTTGGGATACTAGTCCGAATGCTCTGCCAACTGAGCTACGTGGTCAAGTCGGTTCGAGTTGGACGTTACTTTGTCAGCTTCTTGACATGTATTTCTTGCTTTTATATTTATTTGGTTAAATCTTTCAACTTGAATGAGAAATTTATTTTATTAAAGAATTCTTCGGATTGGATCGGATTGGAATTCTTTTTCAAAACTCGGATCGGGACGAATTGGGATTAGAAATTTCGGATCGGATTTTAAACATCCGGCAATTGTCAGATTATAAACGTCCAATCCGATCCGATGCACACCTCTAGTTTATTGTCAGTATTTTAAAGGTATATTATCTAAATGATAAAGGTGTGCATGATTTTGAAAAACGAATGATTATCAGCAAATTATTGCAAGGGCTGCTGCCCCCAGTCCCCCCCCTCCCCCCTCCTGCTACGGCCCTGAGAAGCAATAAACCGAAAAACATTTACCGATTTACGATTTTTTACGTTATCCATGTAAATGCCGTGATTTCGTAAATCAGTTTATACCAATGGTTTATACTGACAATACCATTTTATAATATTTTCTCTGTTTAATAAAACAACTAAAATTTTGTTATACTATAATTGCCGTAATTTTCCGAATGGCCAACCCGATTTTCCGAATATGTTAATTCTACAAAAGTTGGGGGGGTTAACCACCCC